TTGCTCATTATTTCACTTTCAAAACTGTTGTAGACAATTTTAGATTTGAATTTCCAAATGTCTTGTGAACCCCTGATGTTTTCCAGGCTTTGGTAGGATGATCCAGTATCATTCAGCCCTCAGTGAGCTCTGCCTGTTCCGTGCAGGAGCCCAGAGCTGTTTTCCCTGGAAATGGGAGCTGGGATCGGCGAGCCCTGCGCGGCTGCTCGGGGCTGGCCGGGCTCCAGCGGCACTGCTGGGGAGGAATCCGGGCTGGAGAAAGGGAAGGCCAATGTTCCAGCCTTCCAGAGGCTCGGCATTTTCCCTCTGTCAGGAAGTGAGGTCAGGCCCAGCCGCTGTGTACGGGAATTGTTTGCTCCAGGCCAGTCCTGGAGCTTCGCTGGGTTTCTTAGAAGCCTTTGTGGCTGAGACTGTGCGTGGAAAATGTGGCCTTTCTGTGAATATGGTTGACACGAGCGACCATATTACACCAGCCCAGCGTGGAATTACTCCAGAACACGTCCCAGGGTCCGTTTTTGCAATAGGAGTTGCTTTTATTTAATTTAAAATACTTTTTTAATTTGCAATAAATGGCAGTATTTTAGCTTTTGAGATGCGTGTGTGTTGAACAACTAATCTGTGGAAACAAAAGTTATTTAACTTAGGAGTGTGATCTCCGTTGTCACTTGTTTCAGCTCAGCTAAAACTGCTTCAGGTTTGTTTCAGAGGTGATTAATCCCAATTATTTTATTTTTTATGGCTTTCATGCTTCATGGGTTGAATTCATCCCTCAGCTCAGACCAGGTTTGGGAGTGACCTTTAGCTGATGTGTAATAGAAACCACTGCAAAGAAATGAATCAGGTCAGAAATGCCCTTGCAAAATGTAAACTTTCTAAAAGTCAATCTGTTTAATTCCATACTGACTCAAAAATCTCCAGGACAGGGTGACAAAGCTGGAGAGACACCTCTAGAAATTCTGCTATTGATTCATATTTAATGATTCACTAAGTTGCAGTAAATTCCTATAAATTACAAAATTTGCCTAGTCTTTAACACTTCCAGATGGGATTATTCTTGCTTATTTTAGACTACAATTTAAAATTTAGTGTATTAGCTCATCTTTAATGTCAGTGCAGCCTGTCAATTCTCAGTGCAAGCACTTTTTCCATATTTTTTTTCCCCCTGACCACTTGGAGAGTTACTACTGAGGATTAACTCAAAATACCCAAGAACAGACCATGGCCAAAGCAGTTTGAGCCCCTATTCCTGAGATTTGATGGAACAAAGTGGCTTTAGGACCCGAGAAGCTCTTTGATACAGTTCTCCCAATGGGTGGGTTGGTCATTTTGGGCCATGAACACCCCCCCAGCTGGGGTTACCTCTCCAAGCTGACTTGGCTTGGGGTAAAAGAGAGGATTTAGAGGAAGCCTGGAATCACTGACAGACTTTTAGGGATGTGGGATTTGGTAGGACTTGGGGGTGTTGGTGGGTGAGAGGCTGGACATGCCCTGACACCCAGAACCCCCCGTGCCCTGGGCTGATCCCACAGGGATCATGGGCAGCAGGGCAGGGGGGGATTCTGCCCCTCTGCCCCTGTCTCAGGTGAGACCCCCC